CCGGCCCGGCCCGGCCCGGCTCCCGCTCCCACTCCCCTCTCTCCTCCCTCTCTCGCTCAGCTGATCGCCCCCGAAGACTCTCGCCTAACCTCTCAGCTCCTCTTCTCTGGTCTCGATGGACCCCCCGCCCACCTCCTCCGAACTTCTCCTACAGGCACCGTTACATATTTTGGGACTTTTTCGAGCCTCCTGTTGAAACCACAAAAAGCTCTTGATAGTGACGTTACGTTTCAAAGAAAGGGAAGGGGCAAAAAAACCTCAAAAAACGCTCAGCCTTTTCTGTCCTTTACCATCTCCAGMCTCAGCCCCAAGGAAAACTTATTGGCCTGGGCGAGACGGAGCTGGTGGGGGCCAGAGCCCGAGACTGACCATTCTTTAATAGACAAAGAAATCGTAGCCCAAACCGGGCTCTGTTACACCACGTCTCTCCGTCAAGCTCATTTCACTCCCTAAATCTGCGCTGCGGACACACAGGGGCACAAGGATCTGCATAATTACAGACATAGCCGCTCCCCTCTTTAATAAACCGACATAATTCCCTAATAAGCGTTCCCTTCCCCCACCTTCTCCTCTCCCCAGACCCCAACCCAAGGGAAAGGGGATCCATGTCTTTTTACTGCGTTCCCTAAGTCTATAGATGAGCTCAGTTTGAAACGAGGTATTACAAGATTTCAGTGTTACAGACCCTTTATCTGAGCTACAGACACTTTCAGATCCCCAGCCCCCACCTCCTCTCCTTTTTGTTGTCTCTTCTCCTCCCGGGGGCTATTTGACAAAGGCAGTGTGTTAACTAACATTTTTGTTTAACTCAGCAACTTCTTTTCAAAACATACTTAAACCTGATAGCAATCTCTTGTATTTTTTTCTTTCTTTCTTTTTTTCTTTTTCCCCGAGACGAAATTGACTCTGAACCCAAAGCGTTTGGCTATTATTAATAATTTCTTTCTTTGCMGGTATCACGTATACAAATATTTTGTTAATTTACAGCGCTCCCCCCCCCCGCAAAACATTCCACTACACACTGAAAAGGGTGGGGTGGGGGGGGCGCAAGGAGAAGAGGGGGGAGGGAAAGAAAACAAAAATCCCCGATCTGATTCCTGGAAAGTTTTGTTCGAAAAAGAAATAAAACAACAATTATATATTGCATTTCAATTCTGCCTTCACTTCCCCAGATTTGGCATTCACCTACTGAAAGTGCGTCTAACGAGCAGTGACCTTAGAGAAAAATTACAGCCGAATAGTATAGACATCTCGCTGAGATTTTGAACTAAATAGTGCCGATCCCGATTGGCTTTTTGTTCTTSTTGTTATTTTGGCTGGAGCCGTATAAAAACGCGCACCCGGACATTACTATAAATAAAAGCCTTCCAGGTCTAAGTCTGCTGCCGGCGTTTCCTCCGGAGCCTTAACAGCCCTTTTTCAGCTCCTTTCTTGGGCAGATCGCGGGGATTAAATGCCCTGAACCTGAGCTCCTGGCCTTGGATGGGAAGGGAAAGAAAAAGGGAGAGGGAGAGAGAGAAAGGAGAGGGTGAAGGAGCCAGGCGCCCTCTGGGCTTTCAGAGGTCAGCGCTTTGACAGTGCTCTGACCTCCCTCCCCTCCCGGCAACCACCCCAGTGTTTATAAACAAAAACAGTCAGGACTAGCCCCAAACAATAGCAATTCACCAACTTCACAGGCACTTCACCAGCTCTTATGCAAATAAAGGAAAACGACCGCTTACCACCGCTCCC